CTCTTTCCAAACTGTCCACATTCTTCTTGAATTGTGCGACCCAGAACTAGACACAGTAGTTCAGGTGAGGCCTCACCAGTGCTGAGCAGATGGGAAGAATTACTTTCCTTGATTTGCAAATGACATGCCTGTTAATACAACCCAGCATACTTTTGGCTGCTTCTTTTTTTTTTGCAACAAGAGCACACTTTGGTTCATATTCAGTTTATGGACTACGGTAATTACCTGGTCCTTCTCTGCAGTACTAGCCTAGCCAGTAATTCCCTGGTCTGTATTTGTGCATGCAATTGTTCTGTCCCAAGTGTAGGGGTTCTTATTGATTGTGGACCATATTTCCATTCTATTCAAGTAATTGAGGGTCCTAGCCCTATGATGCAGCGTACAGCTCCATCCAACACCACCCATTGGAGGACATTGCTTTAAATTATAAACTATTTGCAATTAGGACATGATCCTCATACTATTTCTAAAGGGCTTAGTATACTTTTGACACTGTTTGTAGAATAATAATGTTCTTCTGGCTAAGTACAGATAGTCAAAAAGCCTGAGGCTGAATCAATTCCATTTTTTGCAGATTAGTCTAAACTGCATAGATCAAACCAATAAGCAAGTGAACAGTCATTCACTTTTGATTCCAGAAATGCAGCCACATGCCTGCAGTGGCTCAGGCCAGAAGCTAGGGGGTGCTACAGCAGACAGCTTGGGCCAAAGGTGACCCCCCCACCTGCAAGGGGGACAGGGGTTGTGGGGGAGGTGCAAAGCATCCTGGGATGCTGGGTGACTGAGTTAACTTGAATCTGGAGGGGATCTAGGACATAAGTTCAATAAACCAGTGAAGTCTGATACTACAGCTATTCGGGTTTATCTTAAAACAGTTTCGGCCATTTTGAAAGCAGTTTATGTGCGCAGAACTTCTGTCGTGTTACAGATTTGAACTGGTTTCACATCACTTATATAAGTTTATGAGTAATTTGTGTCCCTAGTCATAATGGTCAAGTCTATAATAAGCTAAGCCCACTTCTGTTTGTTTTTATCTGAACTAATCAGTCATGGGAAAAGTTTATGAAAAATATAACTAGTTAAAGTTAAAAGTTAGCAGCCTTTAAAATTAACTTGAGTTAAGTTAAAAGTTAAATATTTCCACTTTCAGCTGGTTAAAAGGTAAGTTAAAAAGAGAGTAACTAGTTAAGTTGATTCATGAGAAATGTGTGGAACACGGTGAATTGCCTTTTAGCATCATTTTCATTTTCAAATGCAATGAGTGGGTTTCTTTTCCATAAGCCCACAGAAGCGCACTAATTTACTCAGAACTCACCCTGCTTTACCTGCAAACAATGTTATACTTGTCATACAGTTTTCAGAATAACAATTTACCAATACCTATGTAATGTTAGATCTTTCTCACCCTCTCCGTGTGAAGTACTTTGTAGAAGTCAATGCATCATATAGGTATACCAAAATAACAGAAAGGAGATATTCAAAGCCAGATAACAAATGAAAGCTGTTTCCACAGACAACCTCTGTTGTTACAATTTTTATTTCTCAAAAGGTAACAAAAGGGTATGAAATACATCTGAATTAGAAATAATGAGTGTCTGAAAATCAAAATTAGGCTCAAATGAGAAAAAGAATGTTCAGTTGCATAGCAAAACTGTTTAAACATGCTTATTGAACTTCAGCAAAAGCTTCAAAACGTACATCTGACAATTTTCCTTTTCTGTCTTGCAAAACTAAGCCCCCACTACTAAACAATCACTCTACAGGGGTAGATGAAGGAATGCTTGTGTTATAACAGATGAGTAGTTTTTTCATAGTAGGTGACATCTCAGATAAGTTTCTCACAGATGAGAAGTAATGCTCAACTTCTTGGGCCCTTGGGCTGCTGGTTCTAATCTTCATTAAAACTAAAAAAAGTCATCATCTGCTTCACCCTCACTATTCGCTCCCACTCTTACTGGGATCAATGTCTCTGCTTGCTTGTGCTTGTTCCCTCCTGCAGCCAACTGGCTGCCCTGTTGACTTCTGCAAATGCACAGAAAAATGCCAGCATGAACTAAGGAACTCTGAGAATTACAGTTCTTAAGAGACCATATTTCATAGGAAGGCATGCTACTCTCTGTCTCTCAAACAAGAAGTCCTAGAGTTTCAATAAAGAACTATCATTCCATTTAAGTCCTAGGAGTAGCTGTCAGAAAAAACTCTGGGAAAGCCAGATTTCAATTTTTTTAACTTTTAACTTATACTTTAAAAAAAGTTAAAGTTAATCTTTTTTTTAACTAGTTAAAGTTAAAAGTTGACAGCTGAAAAATTTAACTAGTTACAGTTAAAAATTAGCCATTTCTTTAACTTTTTAACTAGTTAATTAACTAGTTAATTCCCATGGCTGGAACGGATCATTAAAAAGAAAGACCAGCACTGACAACAGCAATAAATGTGATATAACATATTTTATATGGAATAGACATGCATGTTCTACACAGAAAATATTTCCTCCTTTCTACAGATTATTCAAATATAACTAAAGCATGTTGAAATGAGAACAGCAGTAGTTTTCTGTCACGTGAAATTTCAATGTGACCATGGGGAAGGGCCATTAGAACTACTGGCCACCAATGAAAGCTCCTATAGATTTTCAAACACTCCAGACTTGCCTAGGAGTCCACCTTGTAGACTTGCTTCAGCACAGGTCTACATGCATTCATCAACAAATTTAAGTGACCGCATGAGGAACAAACTTGGGAAAGGGTAAGGAAGGAACGAACCTTCTGCAGTTGTGTCCAGGATATTCAATAAAAAGGTATTTTTGCAGATGTATGGCAGATGTCCAGAAAATATGGTTCCATTTGGTAGACTTGGTTTGCTTTTGATGATGACGACGACGATGATGTTTTCTCCCCAGGTACGAAGCTCATTTCTGTAATTATGAAAGTGTGGGTAATGGACCCTAAATGGTAGATTTCTATTGTTGGAAAATCTAACCAGAGTAGAAACATGGGGATGAAAGCACAAGCAAGGCCAAGGGGTTTAAACAAATTCTGTCCACAATATGTCCCCTTGGTACAGAGCTCATTCAGAGCAGGTTCGAGGACTGATGGAGCAACATACTGACATTAGCTCACTGTTCTACATGGGCCATACTTCTTGGTTTGGCTAATTAGCGCAGGCAACATGCTAATTCAGCCAGACCACTTCTATAGCTTTTATTGTTTGGGTATCTCTGCCAGTCTGCTGCATGGGTAGGTCAGACCTGGGAGGGTGGCATGGTTTGCCACATTAGAGAAGCACTGATTTAGCAAGCCTCACAGGAAGCCTCTTGTGGAGACCACATCAAAATTTGCATTTGCCCTCCCCATGCAAAACCCATGAGCTGTGCAGCCCTCCCCTGGACTGAATTCTCAGCACAGCACCCTTATTATGTCCCTCAGTTATCAGAAGAGGAGAATCTCAAAGAAGAGAGTCCTACAAATATTTATAGTGCATTAAAGTACCTAGGAATGACACTCCTACAAACACAACAACAGTGGCTTTAAATAATTATATCTGAAAATCTGTGAGGGAAAATTAACAGTAAATAGAAACCCACAGAGAGACAATTGCAAGAAGATTATTTGGAATTACATGTACAATAATGGAACGTGTAACTATGGAAATTAGACTTGTAAAGGACTGCTACCGAGGCTGAAATTTTTTAAACACAAAAACAGCAGGACACACACGTTATAATCCTATAAATTCAGGACTGGAGCCAAATTCTGCTTTCATTTACACTGGCACAAATCCAGAGTAAATCCTGAGATTTTAATGGTGCAACAAGGAGAAGAATTTTGCTTTTGGAAGGAAAGATAAGAGAGTTCAGTGCAGCAGATAAAACGATGTTGGCTGGAGAGCTGTGGAAGAAGGAGTATCAATTTGTTTCAGTTGCCTCAGGAGAAATTCACTTAATACTTTTGGGTAATGCAAAGCTTTGAAAACCTGAATGTTTAGATGCCTTTTGAGAACACTTGAGACACATGCAAGTGTCAACGTGCTACTATTTGTCAGCTATTTTAATATTGCAAGTCAAAAGGTATCTACACACTATTTTGCCTGGAAATAGGTTTGTCACATTGGTCCTGATCTTGGAAGTACTTACATCTGTACACAGCTTAACTCATGAATAGTTCTACTGCATTCAATGGAATTCCTGGAGAACATAAAATTAAGTTTGGGAGTTAGTGGCTGAGGCTCAGAGCAATAAGTGAACAAAAGGATACATTTTTTTCAGACCGGTACCAAGGGAAAAGCTATTATTAATTAGGATAGTTGTGCATGCACCTCTCAGAGCACTGTGAGGACTACGATCCTGTCAGTCAAAAACCCACCGCAACCTAGCTGTCGCTTTATGCATATTATGTTTACAGCAGGTATAGACCCTTTTGTGATATTTGCAAAGAAAAAAGGAGTTGAACTTAACAAGCATTCATTTCCCCCAGGGGAGCACAGCTCCTCAACCTCAGTACTAGTTTGCTATTTGGTAGGCATGTCTACATGAGATGCTACTGTGCAGTGGTTACTGCACATTTATTTAGTACTCATATAATCAAGTACTAAATAAGAGCATTTATACACATCCTTTTTTTCCAGTGATGTGCCAGAGATCTGCTGCTTTTCCCAATGCTGATGCACATTTTGCCGCTCATACAATTGTATGCGTCACAGCGCTAGGCGCTTGCCCAGTGTTGCGATGCATGCATGCTTAAAAGTGCCCTAAATGTGCAGCAATGAGAGTTACTGTGTATTAGTACCAGTGAACATCTGTGATGCTACTGCGCAGTAGCCTAATAATACTGCACTGTAGCATATTAGCATTGTTGGCACTGTGATGTGCTACTGTGCAGCCAGCGTCTCATGTAGCTGTGCCCACTGCCTGCCTCTACACAAGCTCTTTAGTGCAGGGTAAAGTAATTAGCTGTGGAGTAAAGCATCGTTGTCTACAGGTGTGAGGGTAGCAGGCTGCAGTAAACTAATTTATGCTGTTCTAAAATAGTACTATCCAGGAATGTACTATTTTACACCAGGGTAATTCACTCTGATTAAGCGCATGTAACCAGGGGCATGAACTGCACCCTGCCAAGCCAGCTAGCTGGGGGCCAGGCTGCTGCCTGTCACCCCGCCAGAGGCTCTGCACTTTCAGCGCCCCTCAGGAACCCAGAGCTGATGCCCTTCAGCACCCTGCTAGCGTGGGCCTGCTCTGCCATGCCTCAACGTGCTGCTGTCCTGGGTGCACATGCAGACTCTATGCCCAGGAGTAGCTTACTCCAGCTCAAACTGCTCCGGAGTTTATTGCTTTGCATTAATTGCAGGTCTAGAGCACCCAGAGGGAACAGAACTACAGCCTGAAATGCGGAGGAAACAGCTGAATCCTACTAATTTGGGGCCTCAAAAAACCAACCTGTGGGCAAGCTGAATCTAGGGCAACCCAAATCCCAATTCAAAGGCATTTAAGAAACACGAGAGTCTGCCAGACCCAGTCAGAGTTTAGCCTCAGACACCTCCCCCGCAGCCTCGCCTCTTCTCAGCCCTGCCAGGTGTGGACGCGCCCCCCAGGCCATGCGGCTGCGACGAGGGCGCAGCGCGGCCGGACACAAAGGGGCTGATCCCGGATCCAGCCGCGCCTGGCGCGGGAGGGGACGGGGCTCGCGGCCCAGCTGTGCCGGCCCCACTCCGGGGGACTTCCCTGGAGCACTGCCTCTCTGCGGACGGGGGGAGCAGAGAGACTCCAGGCAGAGCTGCCCCCACCCCAGCG